ACTCTCTCCACAATATGCTGCAGCATGTAAGGCTGTCCTCTTCTCTTCATCCTAGAGATTAACAAAGCTTGTCAGGAACAACTTAAAATATGTTGAAATAATTGTCAGGTAAAATCTGTGATGTACATGCACAGCACAAGTTGGGAACAACAATTAAACCCAATGTAATGCTTAATATACATGATTTTTTGACTTGCAAATACTTTTGCAAGCATTGAAGGGGCAAGGAAAAATACTGCTGTAACCAAAATGTCTGCTTGCACTATATATGTAAAGCCATAAATAACAAAAGAAAGATTCCATTATCAGTTTAATTTCAAGTCTTTTCGTTTATAGTTCTTGAAACACATGCTACAAAATCAATACAAACACTACTGTTTCAGTGTCTTTCATGACAAACAAAATTTCACTTGAAAGTTCTTTGCATTAATGTCAAGCTTAAAGGACTTAGAGCTTTTATCCTTCAAAGTAACCATTTTTTTGCTTTCCTTTCCCTCATATTTTTAAAACTACCCTGTTCTACTGTGTAATACCATGGCATATTTGCATGTTCCGCTGTCCAAGCAATTATGTTAAAATGGTATATAATAGTAAAATAACAGCTCAATCTTCGTTATCTACCTGCAGTACCAACAGTTTATAAAACAGATCAAAAATACAGACTCCAAAACAAAGTCTATTTTTACACATATTATCAGGGCTGAAAATTAACTCCAGCGCTTGGTGGTCAGTCGGGCCAGTTTCTTTGAATTCTTAGTGGCCCCTCCCAAAATGAAATAGCCCTTGATTTCCTCTAGTTAAAAACGGAAAACTTGAATAAATGCTCCATGGCTTTTAATGGAGAGTTAACTAAAAGGAAAGAACAAGCTCATGAAATCACTGTTAAAACGGCTTGCAATTTCCACTTCAGAACTAAAAATTCACTAAAATGGATGATCTTAGAGTCCAGGCAAAGAAATGAAGAGAAAGGCAGTCCAATTAAACTAAATATTGAGTTTTATTTTTAACTTTGTACTTCGCATTATTTACATTGCAACTTTTCAAAATTCTGTTGCATAGTCGCACATCAGGCATTCAAACCTTAACTTTTAGTGGCCCTGCTCAGTTTTAACTCACCACTGGCAACCATGCGAGGGCCAATTTTTAGTCCTGTATTATGGACTGGTATGCTAGGTCAGGTAAACAGAAAACAACTGGCAACAGCAATTTGTGATTGTGCAAACATTGGTGTTATATTTCTACCACACAACACTAACTACATACAACCCTTCCATGATAAAAAAAAAAAACATTTTTTTAACAGCTTAAACTCACTTCCTTGAAAGGGAGCAACATGCTACAGATAATTTCTAATCTTAAGAGGAAAGTTCTCCAGCTAAATTGTTATTTATTTCCTTACTCTACAATCCCTGGTTATGAATAAGAAAGGTTAGGAACCAAAATAAAAGGTAATAACAAAAAGATTGCTCAACCGTGGAAGGAATTTTTACTATCTGAAATTAAAATCTAACATTGACATTTCATAGACATGTACTGATTAGGAACGACGTATCAGTTATTCACATCTAAAACAGCAGTTTATTTGAGAATTCAGCTGACAACAAACTTGAGTTTTATTATTGGTTACACGAATTCTTTAAATATTTGATAAGCTTGCCTTATTCAAGAGAAGGAACTTGATGATGCACATTCAACTGACATTTCTTCGGTGACCCGAAAAATTCGATTATTAAGAGAGTGAGACTGATTTAATCAACTTTACTTACTTGGCGATTTACATCCTCGTTTCGGCTTATCAACGTCCGTAATTCGGTAGCATCACCGTGGAAGCACGCTTGTACGAGGGGAGGCTGACAAATAATTCATAATAAACATAATTTATCGAAAACGCAACGATAACATTTTGCAACATCTTTAGCTACTGTGAGACTGATATTTGTGCTGTGAATTACACGCCAAAAATAGCATAAAGAGTCGATAGTTAGTCTCTTAATTGGAGAATATAATTTTAAGTGCAATAACTATCTACCTCGTCCAGTAACTGTTGAACTACCATCTAGATCCCATCCAAATTTCGATGCATACAGTTTTGTCGATACAACTTTCAAAATCGTGTCCCGTCCACTTCAAACCCGCAAACCTCCACTGTATTGCCTTAGGTGTCACCTCCCTGAAGACTTACGAATTCCGACAGCACGAACACCTCTCGAAAATCTATAGGAGTGCATTTGTTATGAAGAATTCAGGCCAAATCTAACGCTAGTTGATGGATCCGACATAAGCTTCAAGCAATCCGCCATCTTGCTCAACCGCAGCAAAGTACCTGATTGGTTGAGGTTAGTCATGTGAGATGCCTTGCTGGGAGTGTAAACCGTGGAGCGGAAATTGGCGCCACTTTTTTCCGATTTTGGTTCCCTTCTTTGGTAGGCTATTCAAACTATTTTTGCGTTGGCGCAATGGAACGAGCTCGATTTTTTTCTTCATTGTTAATGCTTGTTTTTTAGGATTAAAAAGTATGACCTGTACTAAAAATCTTCCCTTTCAGCATTTTAATAATAAGGCCCGGCACAAAAGCAATCCAAAAGGAGTCCAAAAGAAAGAGAAAAAAATATTAGCAAACTTTTAAACCATCCCATCGAAAATTGGGCTGGAGAGTCCGAATCTAAATCAAAAAGTACTAACCACTTTGGAGTTAGGGAAGTACAGTGGCACACGCGTGCGAGAGCAGACACGCATGACTTCTCGCGCGCGCTGGTCCTAGTCTCTCTCTTTGTGCTTCTTCCGCTTTTCTCGCTGTTTAAGAAAAATGGTCTTGTCGCCGCTTTTAAGAACATGCTTTAAGTCGAAACTTTTTCGACTGTGACAGCTTGGACTGTTATGCCATTCCGTATCCAGCTTCTGTCAGTACTCGCAACCAAAAATGAAACAAGGATGCGTGTTTTTATCCTGTTCCAACTAGTATAAAATAAGTGATCCTCGCCATCATTAGAGGTACCTTTACCAAAACACAACATCAGTACTTGTGGAGGATCAGTACTTCACGGAGCCCTGGGTCTTCACTCGTGTCAATCAAAGATCTGGAATTTTCACTGATGCTGTAATCTCTAATCTGTTGCTGATGCTTAGTGCTCCCGTCGGAGCTGCAACTGCAATGGGTCAACTTATTGGGGCTAAGATCGTGCATACTTTTATGTCCATACGCGCCTTTATGTCCCTTCTGCGTAAGTGGTCTTAGCATAAAATTAATGAATTCAAGTGAGGGCTCAAACGAGGGCCTCAAATGAGGGTCTCAACGGAGGACTTGAAGATATGCAGTGCATCATATGGAACAGATCAGATTTATCATCATTTGCCTTACATTTTTGTTGGGAGGGCTACTTATAATCTTAGCGTGGAGTACAGATCACCAAACCGAACAGTCCATAAGGGTAAAATGGCCTTTGCCTGCGTTTTTCTGGGTCATCACTATCATAGCTGGACGCAGTGGATATCCCCACCTACGCCTGCACATGATCGTTATTTTTGCACATCGTGGAAAATGTTTATTATGCAATAATTACGAATAAAATAACAATAACTTTGATCCATCAAAAGGGAAAAGCTGAGAAAGGGAATTCAACGTTATAAATTTCTACGCGCCTGACTTGAATTGGTTGACACCGCATGTTCTACCTTGTCAGGAGCCCATCAAGTAATGGGCTCCTGACCTTGTGTATCCGTAGGCTCATATTCTTACAACAAGAAGGGCAGGCAAATGGAGTGTTAAGCAGGAAGTGGTCAATGAAGAACTACTCAGTGGAGTAGAGACGTAGATTCTTCGAATTCATTCATTCATACCAGGTTTAAATTTTTGACTCAAACAAGGTAAGAAAATTTATTCCACAAGGAGAGTTCATAAGGTGATGAGCACCTCAGGACCCCGCCCCCTTCCAATCGCGTCCCTTTCCGTAAGTAAACCCTGTATAAAACCTAACTCGCCAAGAAATTTTTTTAAACTTATTTGAAAAAGGACCGTCTTTTTCAGGTTTCCCTATATAAATATACAATATAACAAGAGTTTTATCAGCAAACTAACGTACACAGATGCAATGACTGACTCTGTGGAAGGGGTCGCCTCCCATGTAACGAAATAAAATCACCGATCATTTAAAGGGAAACCCCTTGTTTCGAGTTTTTGGAGTGGGAAGATGCAGTCTCATCAGATGAATACGCCGTCCATACATTCTGTTATCATAGAGCCGAACCAAGAAATTATAGCAGAGTTTACGGCATCGACCACACCTTGGCCGCAAGCCGCAAGTTCAGCTAATGTGTCGTTCGATTGGTGCAAGATCACCTTGAAGAAGTTCATCGAGTCTTTTCCTAACGTGGAGAGCTTCGATACAATTCATTTTGTGGCCTCTCTGTACTATGTGGACGTTGAATAATCGTTGCGAAGCTGTTTCCAGAAGCTTTCCCCGGGTGGAGCCATATTCGTTCTGCACGCGGTGGTCACTGAGGAATCGTTCTTCCCGCAAATTTCAAAGAAGCTTCACACGAAAGTGGATTTAGGTTGAGCTCCGAAGCTTTACTCAGAAGATGTTGTTCATAGTGCCACAAAAAACAACTACATGACGCAGTACACTGCAGGCATAACCAGCTGTTTTGACGAATCGTTCCAAGAGGGCAGAATTTTACCTGATTTTCTGACCCATTAGGGAGAGTTTCGCACAATGGCAGACAAAGTCCTTTACGAAGAGATGATAGACTTTCTAGATGCTGTGTCTGCTGCTGATGATAATGGAAGAAAAATAATTCGACCAGATATTACCGCGTTAAGGTTGCAGACCCCCCAGACCCTTCTTCTAGATTGGCCACTGAACGTTCAATACTGACCTAATGGGACTGGTTGCAATTGAGATCTTCTGTTTTTTTGTCAGTAAGATGTCTAGTTTGTAATCTCTTTTTGGAAAAAAAAAAGGCAGTGTAATACTTCAAACATTGCAGAACCTTGAAACTTATTAAGTCTTGGATGAGATGTTAATTACTGGCTAAAGTGGCCATACACTCTTGAGAATAGTCACGCACAGTTTGTCGAAGTAAGACGTGGATATCACTACATCCTTTCTTGGCCAATTCCAAGACTTTTTCCAAGTTATCAATATGAAGTCTAGAATCCATTTGGAACATGACAATATTTCCAGACTTTGGTAACACAGCCAGACTTAGTTGTGGGCCTCCAAAGCTTTCTTCCAAGTAGTTAACGTCCATCAATGGTTGGTCATTGACAAAACTAACTGTGCAAGCACTGACATAATCCTTCATTGGAATTCCAGCATCTATGAGAGCTAGGGTAGCTGCATTGATGCAAGCACTTTGGTTTGAACCATCAGCCTGAAGAATCTGTAAGCAAAAGACAAATCTATAAGCTGCCACAGTAAACGAATATATGCAGTTGTTTCAATGGCCATTTATCTTACAGTGAGCTGAGAAGTTGGAGAAAGGGTCCAAGTAAGCATAATTCTTCATTTTTCCAAGCACAGTCGGAAGGAATACGCTTCCATATTATCTGCGGGTCAAAACAAGATTTCCTTCAATTGATTGGGATCAGATAAAAATCTTATGGCAGATTTTTTGAAAGTCTAATTTAATAATTTTTACTCCTGGAAATGACAAGTCAGTAATTTCTCCTTAGAAAATTAATAGGTTACTTGCTGTAGAAAGATGAAAATCAAAAGTCGTACTTATGTTTAATTAGACATCAAATTCTCTAAACTGACTTTGTAAGAAATGGGTGACAGAAAGTAAAGAAAATCAAAATAAACTGAATACAGTGCAACCTCCATTTAATTAAGTGCTAAGAGACTGTGGAAATTGGTTCGTTACAAGTATATCAAACATTTGTTTTATCGAGTGTTCGTTACATCAAAAACCTCAATTTCATGAATTTGCAGAAAAACAACTAAAATGTTTGTCATATTGAGAGCTGGTAAATGTTAATTTACTTTTATCAATATTTTTTTTACGTGTGAAATTGCGCGACCCAGCATTTTGGGATCGGCATTTTTGTCAACAATATAAACACATACCACTTACAAAGATATGGACCATGTGCAAAGCTGTCGATTGTTTCTTGAATGTTGCACGTGTTATTAGCTAGGGAGCAGTTGAGTGATCTTGGGTCATTTTCCCCAAGGAATTTACCCAGTTCAATTATAACAGAGGGAGGGAGGGGAGAGGGATTGGCTATGAGCCAGAAGGCACAAAGTCTCCGAGTTGCACCTCAAGAAATGACCAAGAATTTGAACTACACTCTTTCTAGACGTATATAAAATATTCTACTAACCTGCACATAAATGTCTATCTGTGAGCGAGGGTACATCTGTGTTAGAATAGCGGCATCGAATGTGCGCCTTATAAGCATAGACGTCTCTGTGGATTTTCTGTCTCCCTTTGGTCTTCTCTTTCGTTCTCCTGTGCTAAACGTCGCCATGCTAAACTGACAATTTAGCAGCACTCGGTCGTGTAGGATTTTAGATTTGTTTGTTACTTCATGAGGGCCATAAACTGTAGCTAATGCCTTGGTGTTTCCCATCTCGATGTAAGCTGAGCCATCCGCTTGCTTGAAAACCCCCATTCTACAGACGATCTTTCGAAGTTCATGGGGTCTTCGGCCATCGAGACGTAGTCCTTCGGGAGAAAGAATCTCTAACCCAGCCATTTTAGACTGACAATCCAAAATGTATCAATAAACGTAAGAAGAAAGGATCTCAATAATCCATGATGAAACTAGTTTCGTCCACCATGCTTGTGGTAGTCTCGTACTCAGTCTCTCGACGTCCACTGATTTTTTTTGTGTTTACCAGTGTTCCCGCCCCATCGGCAACAGGTTCGATTTGACACTGGCCCAGCTTTGGTGCCAAAAATAGTCATTCATGCATTGTTTAGGATCACGGTTGGGATTGAAAACTCTTGAAAGAAGCTGTATGCAACTGTTTTGTATTTCTAGCCGTGGCCTTTCAGGTAAAGGATCACAAGATCGATTTTGTTTTTCTTTCGGTGGCTGGGGGGGGGGGACTTTCTGAAAATTTTGCCAAGTTTTTGTAGCACATTGACCACCTGCTCCCTTTTTCTGCTTACTACGAACACTCGAATGGAAAATGGAAAAACTGCTTATTCTTGTAGGGATATTTCGTGAATCTAAATCAGGAAAATCTATGCATTTCACAATAAGTGAAGAATTATGTGGTGTTAATTTTTTATTAGTGATGGTTGATTAGCCTGCTATGGTCAAGAAACTGTAACGAATTTTCCACTTGAATATTTTGGTTGGCCCCTGATTAAGATGAGTCACTGAACTCATGACATTTCAGCACTTGGGTCCATTTAAGTAGAAATGTTTCTGGAAATAGAAGATATGATACAAAGTTAGATTATTTTAGTGCACAAAGCCAAGACCTCGTAGTCTCTTGGACACTCACTCATTTGATGATTTATAGAGTTGTCCCTGATTTTAATTGCATCTCGAGTTACTAATATATAGATGATATATCATGGCTGTGCTTTGATACAAATTTTATTTATGATAATTTGTTGATAATATCTCTCGGGAGTGCCAGTGCAGTGAAGGAGTTAGTGATGTTAATTAACTCAATAAGATAACTTCACATCAAAATGTGTTAACCCTTTAACTCCCATGAGTGACCAAGACAGAATTTCTCCTTACAATATCAATACAATATCACACAGACAAGTGATGAGAATAAAACAAAATATCAATCAGGAGATTATAAGTTGATCCAATATCAAATTCTCCAAACTAACATCACAAAAACTGTGTGGCAGACAGTAACAAGAATTACTAATGAGAACTTAGGAGTTAAGGGGTTAAGAACAAAAAAGGTGACACACAAGGTGCAGCCAAGTGTGTCACTGATGCACTGACTGCATTTTGATGTCATTTGTGATCTATTACAAAACAGACCCAGGGCAATATAAAACCTCTTTGTTTTATACAATAAAAAAGCAAAAAACTGAATGGTGATGTCATCTTTGTCTGTCCACCTAAAGATATTAAGAAAGAACCAACCAAAATTCATGCATAATATTCAGCTTATTACATATTTTCTTTGTGTTTTTAGCTTCATCAGTGTTCAAAAACATGGAAAAGACTTTTCAGCTTCAAAATAAACTTCCAAGCTTACCTGTTCCTCCACTAGAACAGACTTGTAAAAAATATTTGGCATCAGGTATAATAATTGAAAATAACACATATGTTTTTTTCTTTACAGGTATGTATGTAAAGGTTCAGTTTTATTTTTGATTTGAATATAATTTCCTTTGCCTTTTTTAGCATATTAGAGAATTATAATGAGTTTGCAAGAAAGGAAAAATGAAATTTAGATTTAGGAGGAAATTGAACCACAGCATGAAGATGCTCAGAGATGCATTCTGTAAATTTGAAAACTGGAGATGTTTGGTTTAGGTTCAGTTCCCCTCTCAAACTTATGAATCAACACCTTGTTTCAAGCTATCCTCAAACACTAAAAGTTATTAAAATTCATGCATTGCAAAAAAAAAAAAGAAAATGAAAACTCAGCCGTCTTTTCAGTTGAAACCAAGTGATTTTACTGATTACTTTGATTTGTCCTTAAAGTCCTAAGGTTTTATTAGTATTTCTCCCTACTGACTGCAATACAGTTTGTTGTATATTGAACAGGATAATTTAATGTTGTATCAAAATAACATCTCCTAGCTGATAAGCTTGTGTCTTATCATAACCTGTTTGTGAGTTGACTTATTGGAATCACAAGGAGAATTTACTTGTTAATCAGATCTGGTGGTTATCAGTTCTACATCAATGTACTCTTTTCTTTGAAAACCCACTGATTAATGTCTGACAAATGTTTGAATTTTTTTTATATTTCTCACCTACTTTCCTATGCTGTTTCCCATAACTGTCCCTCCCCTCCCAGTGCCCATTTTTTGGGGATCTTGCCCCTCTGTATCCTACAATTAACAGTAAGCTCTTAAAAATTCAACTGTGATTTTCATATCTATTCATGACAGTAAAGCCTCACTTGACATCAGAAGAGTATCTTCAGACTCAGTTTTTGGTGAATGAATTTGCCAGTGGAGTTGGAAAAGAACTTCAAAGCAAGCTTGAGACAAGGGCAAGTAACATGCGTAACTGGGTAAGTGAATCTTGTGATTACTTTGTCAGCCAGTTCTGCTATATCAAAGAATTAAAAAAACAACAAGTGAATTAAAAAAATAGTGAAAGTGTATTAGTGTCTAAGACTACTGTGAACAATCCTGATATTTTGAAAATTGGACAGCTCAATTTAACATTAACACCAGTATCTATATTCTTAATACTCCTCTCTTTGCATTTTGTTTGTACTGACAAGGAGAATTTGTTTAACAATCAAAGTATCTTAGGTTGGTGATCATTTCCTTTACTCCTATGATCATAATGAATGATTCAACATTAATAACAGTAATGGTAAGGAAGAGAATTAGATGCTGAATTAGATGCTGATCACTCTCAGTGTTTTAAAGGGTTAAGGCTGCATTTACTGTACCAGTATATCTAAAAATACACCTTGTGTAATGTTTCTGGTTTCTCAACAAGCTCAAAGAATGGTGGGAGGATGTAGCATACTTAACACCCAGATATCCATCTGCCCCAATGGTCAACATTGGAGGACCGATACCAGTGACAGACATATGGCCAGTCCAAACTGGAGCCCAAGTAACAAGAGCTGCCATATTTACCCATGCATTCCTTAAAGTTTGGCAAGAGCTTTACAGGTGAGTTATGTTTCTTTTACAAAAACAAGATATCTTATTCACTGAGCAGTTTTAATCTTATTTTCCTATTTACTTCAGAGAGGAAAGCCCCATTGAGAGAATGGGGTCAACTCCACTCTGTATGTTTCAGTTTACACGGCTCTTTTCATGTTGTAAAGTTCCTGGCAGGGAAAAGGACTCCTTAAGGACTAACTTTGTCACAGGTAAAAACAAAATTTGCTAACTCTTTACATCCTTACATCAATATATATATTCTCCATACTGTTCTCTATACATTTTCCTAGATGCCAACAAGGAGAATTTCTTTAAAAATCAAGAGACTGTTGAGTTGATGATTATTTGCTGTATTCTCATTACCTTAATGTGTGACTCAGTGGTGATATTGTAAGGAGAAATTACCGTTAGATGCTAGTTGCTCTTAGGGGGCATAGGGGTTGATTAACATGAATCTTAAAGCGAGGGACTGCAATGGATTTAGGGTGACATCAGGCTGCTACACCCCTTGGAATCAAATCCAATTTTATGCAATTTTATTGTCCCCTATTGTTTAAAAAAATAATCACTTTAACTTGTAGTACTGGGTAGATTAAGACCTTTATGTGACCAAAATGCCATCATTATGTGTTTTGAATACAGTTATCCATTTTTATGTGAATTATATACTATTAACTGATGATTCTTGATTAGCTCCTCACAGTTCACCCCGTCACATTATTGTGCAAGTCAGAGGACGGATTTTTAGTTGTGTGGTGCTGGATGAAAATATGGAGCCTCTCTCACCAGCAGAAATTGAAAGGTAAATCACAGAGAGTTTAAGAAACAATTCCACCACAATAATTGTGGTGGCAAAGGGGGAATGGGGGGGGGGG